AAGGGGGGGGCAGGCCTAAAGGCCTGGTGGTGTGGCGGGCAGGGCAGTATTCGTTGTGACCTAGGCACTGGGTTTGGGGAGGGTGGGTCGTGTCAAAGGTAAACCAGATCTGCATAGACGTTAAAGCGGTGAAAATATGTTTTACTCGCTAGAAGTATTGTAACAGGGGAAGAGACTTCGTTATAGAACCTATTCTGAATACATCCAGAACAAGTGGTGTTTATTGACAAGGAGCAAGTTGTACTGGGACCAGGTGCTGCCTGGGGGCGGGGCGGTGGCGTTGTTGCTCTATAGAAAGTTAGAAGAGGAGACTTAAGTCTTTCCGGGAGGTTGAGGGGATTCTGGCTGAACTCACCAAACAGGATTCTTGATAGAGGCAAGCCAGGGCGAGCGCATGTCACCTGGGGGACATAGTGAGGATGAGGAGTTTGGTCAGATATCAAGGGTAGGGAATTTTATTTTTTAATGTGTTCTTATTGATTTGAGAGAGAGGAAGGGAGAGGGAGAGAGAGAGAAAAGCATCCATGAGAGAAACATCAACATCAATGGACTACCTCCCGCACGCCCCCTATTGGGGATCAAGCCATACATCCTGGCATGTGCTCCAACTGGGAATCCAACTGGTGACCTCTTGGTGCATGGGTCCAGGCTCAACCTCTGCACCACTCTGGCCAGGCAAGGGTGGGGAATTCTTGATAAACTGACTTAGCAAGATTCTTGCTAAAACTGGATTCCAGCCCAAGCCAGTTTGGCTCAGTGGTTAGAGCGTTGGCCCACAGTTGAGGGTTCAATTGCAGTCAAGGGCACATACCTCAGTTGCAGGTTGGATCTCTCATTGGGGCGCGTGCAGGAGGCAGCCAATCGATGTGTCTCTCTCACATTGATGTTTCTCTCTCTTCCCCTCTCTCCCATTTTCTCTAATAAAAAAATCAGTGGAAGAAGTATCCTTAGGTGAGGATTAACAAAAACACAAGGGCATTTGTGATAACACTGGGCTCATAAGTAATCCAGGATAATTTTCCCATCTCAAGATCCTTAATTACATCTCTAAGGTCTCTTTTACCCTGTAAGATAACACATTCACCAGCTCCAGGCATTAGGATGTGTGCATCTTTGGAGAGCCATTATTCTACTTGCCACAGGGGAGGAATAATATCTCTTCAGAAGCTGTCTTTCTCATAACTTCTGCAGATCCCAGTTGTCCAGGATTAATGTCCCACTGTGTCCCAGTAGTCCATGTCCTCACTGTGAGAAAAAGCTGGGAAAAGTGGCTGGTATTTTGACACCTGTAGAGGGAGCTGGGCCCTGCACAATGATGGAGGGTGGCACAGCCATCCACAGTGGCTGGCACACAAATCTGCTTGAGTGAAGCTTGTCTGCCCAGAGGCCTCTCCTCAAGTTATAAGGCCACATGCCCAGTCAGAGAGCCACTGGTGCTGGAAGTTTGTGGGTTTACTACCAGCAGAGACCTGGAACTGAATGGAGTCTCAGCCTCAAGGAAGCAGAAGGAAATGGGGATCCTGGGAGAGGGTTCGTTGGTAGTGCTGGGAAGGAAACATTACATGGACTATGAGGAGAGCAAGAGCTCTCCCTCCCTTGGGTCTAGGAGGAAAGCCAGCATTTTAGAGGATGCTCATAAAGGCAGAAGGTCCTCAGGGTTCATGTGTGGGAACTTACCCCTCTCCCTTTCCCCAGAACGCTCCACATATCCATTTGGGCAGCTATGGGTAAGGTTGTCTCCAGAACCCAGCTTTTTGAGAGATTTTGCTAGAAGCTTGTGAGGTTTGCATCATCCTTGGGAGTATGGACACTTCACCAGGCTGTGGTACATCATTTCAGTCCTGCCTGGACACTGGCTATGTCCCTAGATGTGTGAAAATGTACACAACTCTATGATGCTTGTCTTAAAGTTAATAGTAGAATTCCACCTATGAAACTTTGGTGAGTTAATGTAAAGCTCTATGATTTGTTTGAAAGGACAGCATTTGGGTTATGCAGGGGAAAAATGGATGGTATGTTTTTCAGCTTTCTTCTATGAATACTATATTATTATATATAGATTGATCCCCATGATACTAAAAGATGAATGATCTCTGCATGACACTTCAAATTTGGTGGTTCTCTAGTTCATATATGATGTAAAACAATGCTGTTGTCCTTGATAACATTTACATTTTGTTACTTAGGGCAATCATTTATTTTTTGTTTTTAAAACTCACTCAAGGATACTTTTTCCATTGCTTTTCAAAGAAAGTGGAAGAGTGAGAGAGAGAAACATTGATGTGAGAGAGACACAGATTGGTTGCCTCCTGCACTCATCCTAACGGGCTGGGGATGGAGCCTATAACTGAGGAATCTGCCCTTGGCCTGAATCAAACCCAGGACCCTTTAATCCAAGGGCTGACGCTCTAACCACTGAGCAAAACCAGCTAGGGCTTTATTTTTATCATTTTTTAAAAATATGTTTCTATTGATTTCAGAGAGAGGAAGGGAGAGGGAGAGAAAGATAGAAACATCGATGATGAGAGCCATTGATGGCTGCCTCCTGCACACCCCCTACTGGGGATCAAGGCTGCAACCCAGGCATGTGCCCTGACTGGGAATTGAACCGTGACTTTCTGGTTCATAGGTCGATGCTCAACCACGGAGCCATGCTGGCTGGGCTGATTTTTATTTTTATCCTCACCTGAGGATATGTTCTGTTGATGTTTTTTAGAGAGAGATAAAGGGGGAGAGAGAAAGAAACATCAATGTGAGAGAGAATCATCAATTGGCTGCTCTTGTAAGCGCCCCAACCCAGGATTGAACTGAAACCTGGTATGTGTGCTGATCAGGACTTGAACCAACAACCTTTTTGGTGTATGGGATGATGCTCCAACTGAGCCACTCTGCTAGGGCTAGGGCTGTAATTTCTATGAGACATTGTCCATCAGTCCTAGACCCCTGAGTCCCATTAAATTGTGTTTCTCTGGCAAATCAAGGGCATATCTAGAGCATAACTGCTCATACCTGCTCATCTGTGATTGCAGGGAGCAACAGTGCAAAGTCTTATTACATTCAGATACCTGTGGATCATAAATAACACGTGGATTCCGCCTCCTTTGTGGTTTATTTCTGATGTCAAATAAAATGGAATTTCAACCAACAGCTTTGCCATAAAAAGAGCCATAAAGTGTGGACACCCCTGAAGGCTTTTCCACATCGACTGCATGTATAGGGGTTTTCCCAGTATGAGTTCTCTGATGTTGCATCATAAGTGCTGAGCTATGTTTAATGTGTTTCCCACAATGCCACATCCGTAGTTTTCACAGACTACATCCATAGGCTTCTCTCAGGTTTGAATTCTGTCATACTGAGTAAGGAAGAAGAAAAGTCTGAGACCTTTCCCTGAATGCTTACATTGTAGGGTTTCTCTCCTTTATAGTCTTAGATGGAAAGCAGTTTCTCCTAGAAAATAATGTCTTGAATTCACTGCAAATATAGTTTCTCATAAGTGTAAATTCTCTCATACTTAGGGATAATTTGTGCCTTTACATTTGTAGGGTTGTTCTAAATGAGTTTTGAAACGTACCAAAAGGTAATCTTTCTCCAAGAATATCGCACGCTCAACACATTGGTAAGATTTGTCTCCTGAGTAAATTAGTTCATAGTTAAAAGGGTTCAGCTCTGTCCAGATTTCTCTACACCATTATATCATCTCTCGAGTATGGCTTCTCTGATGTTACTGTATCGTGGAAGAAGGATTGAGTTCTAATTAACTTTTTCCCCAAATTAATTATTCTTTCTGCCTCTGTCCTGAATCAGTGTTTCCTCAAGGGCCATATATTCCACCATCTCTCCTGGTTCTCCTGATGCTGCTTTAAGTGGGCCTCACATTCGTGGCCTTGGCCAAATGTGAAAGGATATAGTTCATTGCTTATGAATCTGTTTCCAGAACAGCATATGGTTCTAAGAGAAATGTAGTTCTTTTTGGTTAACTCTGCTTTTCATTCTAATTTCTCAGCCTGGAAAATGAAACATACAATTTTAAAATATATATATATATATCTTTATTGATTTCAGAGAGAAGAAGGGAGAGAGAGAGAGAAATATAGAAACATCAATGATGAGAGTCATTGATCGGCTGCCTCCTGCACGCCCTACTGCTCCTACTCGGGACTGAGCCCACAACCTGGGCATGTGCCCTGACCAGGAATCGAACCGCCGTCTCCTGGATCCTAGTTCGATGCTCAACTGCTGAGCCACACCTGGCTGGGCAACATACAATTTTAAGTGTTTGCCAAAAAAATAATGAAGTTAAGTGAGGAAGCACACCTGAAGCATGTAGATTTGTTTTCAGATCTGCCCTACAATAAGTAGTTAACAGTGAACAGAACTCTCCTTTTCCAGATGCTCTTGGGGACCCCAGTTCTTTGGGGTCTGGTTCTGAGCCCTCTTCTCTCTCCTGCCTGTGTTATCATTTCCATTCCCTTGGATTCAAACACCATCTGAACATTGG